GCCGCCGCTCTCACGCCCTCGAGCGCCGCCCCTGGACGCGCGCGTCGTCGCCGCCTCCCGCGCGCGCTGCGACTCGCTCTCCCCCTCCAAAGCGGCGAACAAACAAGCAAGCGTAAGAGGGCAGAAACAACTTCATCCCTTTGATACAAAGGTATGGAAAGAAACGGCATGCAAAATAGCTACGGGAGCGTTCTGGAGAACCATACCGAGGAGCAGAATCTCTAGGCGGCGCAGAACTTGAGGATGGCTGCACAGCGAGGAAACAGACGCACCGCATCGCTGCCACCCAGCCTCCCTGTGGCGATCGGCTCACAGCAGGGAGGGGCCAAGTAAGCAGGAGGGCCCGGCAAGCCGCACCACTCCAAGGACGCAAGCAGTCTTCGTCACCAGAGATCCCCACGTCCTTGAAGCACTGCTGTGTGGCTTCTGTCGAGCCGTATCAGACTCCACACCAAGAGAGAGACTTTCAGAGAGCACTCCCCGCTGTAGGGAGGACGAGAACGGAAGGATCCCTAAAGCCCTTGCTTGAATAACCTCTGCAGCCACTGTCATGGCCACAGACTTATCCAGCTGAAACCACTGAGGCACTGCAGTCATCGCTATCATTGGTCACAGCTGAAGAAACTTCACCTAGACTGCAGCAACGGGCCTACACAGAAACAGGCCACTGAACCCTGCCCAAGCAATGCCCTCAGGGCCATCCGTAGGAGAAAATTTTTCCTAATGAAAACCACTCCAAAAAGTTTGGAAGAGGTGATTGCACCACCAGATGTGCACACATTAACACAAGGATAGAAGAAAGATGAAAAAGCAAGGAAACAAGACACCACCAAAGAAACACGATTCTTTAGTAATTGACGGCAAAGAAATAGAAATTTACAAATCGCCTGAAAAGGAACTCAAAATAATCTTAAGGAAACTCCAAGAAATACAAGAAAATAAAAGTAGAAATCAGGAAACAATTCAGAATCGGAATGATAAAGAGATAATATTTAAAAGATTCAAACAGAACTCTCGGAACTGAAATACATCAGTAAAGTGAAAAAACACAATAGAGTGCTTCAATAGTAGATTAGATCAGGCAGAAGAATCTGTGTGTGCCTGAAAACAGATATTTTGAAATTGGAAAAAAATAATGAAAAACAATGAAGAGTCTATGGGACTTGTGGGACACCATTCAGTGAACAAATATTGCATTATGGAATTTAAAGAAGGAGAAGAAATAGAAAGGGAATGAAAGCTTATTGAAAGAATTATTAAAATGAGAAAATGAATTATTAAGGTAAGAAAACTTAATGAATAATTCCCAAAAACTTCTCAAGTCTTGGGAAAAATGCGACCATCCAGATCCACAAAGCTCAAAGGATCCCCAAAGAGATACAACCCCAAAAGTCCTCTCTGTTAAGACACTTTAGAATTAAACTGTCGAGAATTTTTAAAGCAACAAGAGAAAAGTGAAGTGTGAAGTCACATATAAGGGAAAAGTGTGAAGTAATGTATAAGGGAATCTCTATTGAACTATCAGTGCATTTCTCCCAGAAACCTTGCAAGTCAGGAGAGAATAGAATGATATATTTAAAGGGCTGGAAAAAAAAAAAAATGACAGCCAAATATAACCAGCAAAGCTGTCCTTCAGAAATAAAGGAAAAATAGTCTTTCTCACCAGACAAGCATAAACTGAGAAGTTTCATCAACACTAGACTTGCCCCCACAAGAAATTCTTAAAGGAGTTATTCAAGTGGAAACAAAGCACAATAATTATCATGAACCTACATAAAAGTATAAAACTCACTGGTAGAGGTAAATCCATAGTCAAATATAGACTACTATAATAATGTAATGGTGGTGTGTGAGTCATGTGTATATCTCTAGTATGAAGGTTAAAGGTCAAATTGACCAAAAACAACTAAAGCTGCAATAAGTTGTTACATATTACACAATATAAAAATATGTAAATTGTGACATCAAAAATGAAAATTGCTAGGGAGGGGGTAAAAGTCTAGAGTTTTTGTATGCAACAGAAATTAAGTTGTTATCAGCTTTAAATAGTCTATTATAACTATAAGAAGTTTTACATAAGTATCATGGTAACCACAAAACAAAACAAAACAAAAAACTGCGGCAGATGTACAAATGATAAAGAGAAAGGACCAAAGCTTAGCACTATAGAAAACTATCAAATCACAAAAATATACAAAAAGAGAGAAAGAAAAAAACAGTTTCTGCAAAACAATAGAAAACAAATTATAAATGGCAACCCTTACCTATGAATAATAACCTTGAATGTAAATAGCTTAAGTTTTCCATTAAAAAGATACAGAATGACTGAAAGGGAAAAAAATTCAACTATAGGTGTACCTCATTTTATTATACTTCACTTTTTGCACCTTGCAGATACTGAATTTTTTACAGATTAAAGATTTGCAATATATCTGCATTGAGCAAGTCTACCGGCACCATTTTTCTTTTTCTTTCTTTTTTTTTTTTTTTTTGAGTTGGATTCTCACTCTGTCGCCCAGACTGGAGTGCAGTGGCCGCTCCCAGCCACTGCAGCTTCGACCTGCTGGGCTCCGGCGATCCTTCAGCCTCAGCCTTCCAAGTAGCTGGAACTACAGGCATGCGCTACCATGCCCGGCTGATTTTTTTATTTATTGGAGAG